GGCGTGGCCATCCCCCCTGGGGGGTGATTTCTCGCTTTCTGTCTCTATGTCTCTCTCTCTCTGTCTGGCGAGCGCCCGCACCCTATAGCGAAAATCTTTCCAAAAAATACATAATAATAATAATAAAATTAAATATTTTTACAAAGAAAATATCACTTTTTATATAATAAGTGTCGATATAGGTGTGGGTCAGCACCTGTGCTTTCTCTTCATTCATTCCACTGGTCAGTTTGTCTATTCAAAAGCATATTGGGAACCAGCAGTTAGCGTAATGGCTATGTCGCCGGATTCCCACATAGTAGACCGCGGTTCGTGTCCCGGACCTGGTGGCTTAAAACTCACGCCGGGCGCGTGTGCGTGCGTGCCCAAGATCCTGAGAGGAGAATGGAGGAGAAGGGATTGCGGCGTGACCATCCCCCCTGGGGGGTGATTTCTCGCTTTTTGTCTCTATGTCTCTGTCTGTCTGGCGAGCGCACGCGCCCTACAGTGAAAATCTCTCCAAAAAAAAAAAAAGCATATTGTCATAGTTATTGTAGTTACATGATAAACTTTGATTCCTTGTAAAGCAATTCTTTCCATCTTATTCTCCTTTTTTAAGAGGATCTTCTTGGGTTACTGTGCTTCCAAGTAAATTTTACAATCCACTTGTTGGGTTTTGGGACCATCAGATGGCATAGCGGTTCCGTTGCTGTACTCCTACATGGTTGACTGTAGTTTGAGTCCTGGGCCCAGCAGCTTGAGACTCATGCTGGGTGTGTGTGTGCCCAAGACCCTGAGAGGAGAATGGAGATGGGATCATGATGTGGCCATACCCCCTCAGAGGTGATTTCCTGCTTTCTGTCTCTGGTGAGCACACATGCCCTATAGCAAAAATATCTCCAAAAGCAATAATTAATAATAAATAATAAAATGTTTCATTGTAAAGTATACATAAAATGTGCCATCTTAAACATTTTTAAAGTTTATTTGTTTCATGGGAAGAGAGTCAGAGAGAGAGACAGAATAAGAGAGAACACCCTCAACAGGCTTCATGCCATGATCCTCCCCTGAGTCAGCATCATGGGCATAAACAGCAGTCATGTACAAATCAACAGGGAACCAGAACCACAGTCTCTGCTGAGGGTTCTCTCTCTCTCATGGAAGAAAGAAACTTTAAAAAAAAAAAACGCAATCAGTTTTTGCATATCTATCTTGTAGTTCAGAACCTTTCTTAAACCCTAATTTCCAAAAATTTTAAAATTCTTTGGGAGTGTATAGTATTCTCAACCGGACTGGTCTGAGGTATATTTCATGTTGGGTAAATTCTCTTTACAAGCTAAATGATGTATAGTGATTACATGAATAAAACAAAATAATAACAAAAAGAAAATATAAGAATACCAACATTACTGGGACCAGCAATTGGCACAATGGCTATGTCGCTGGACTCCTGTATAGTCGACCGCAGTTCCAGTCCTGGACCCGGTGGCTTAAACTCACACCAGGCGCCTGTGTGTGCATGCCCAAGATCCCAAGAGGAGAATGGAGGAGAAGGGATTGCGGTGTGGCCATCTCCCCTAAGGGGTGATTTCTCGCTTTCTGTCTCTGTCTCTGTCATTTTGGCGAGTGCACAGGCCCTATAGCAAAAGCCTCTCCAAAAAAAAAAAATTATTTTATTTAACTTTATTTTATTTATTTATTTATCTTAATTCGGCCAGAGAGAGACAGAGCGAGAGAGAGAAGGAAAGTGAGAAGGCAAACCACCAGGTCTGGGACTTGAACTGTGGTTGACCATGTGAGAGTCAGTGCCCCTAACCACGCCACCTGCTGGCCCCCATAAATTAGTACCCATCTTCCCCCTAGGATTCTGGGCATGCACACATGTGCCCAGTGTGTGTTTTTTGGGTTGAGATTTTTGCTATAGGGCATGTGCATTCGCTGGAGAGACAGACAGAGACAGAGACACACAAAACAAGAAATTGCCCCCTAGGAGGGATGGCCATACTGCAATCTTTCCTCTATTCTCCTCCTGGGATTTTGGGCATGCAGGCACACGTGCCTGGTTTTTTTGTTTTTTTTTTGAGAGGTTTTTGCCTTTTTGCCTTTTGCCTGTCTCTCTCCCCTCTCACCTGCAAGCACAGGTGAAGGGGGAGAGAGACAGAGACAGCAAGAGGGAAAGTGAAAACTCACCCCCCGGGGGGGGATGGCCATGCCTCAATCCCTTCTTTTCCATTCTCCTCTCAGGACCTTGGGCATGCACACACATGTGCCTGGCATGATTTTCAAGTCACTGGGTTCAGGACTTGAACCACAGTTGGCCATGTGGGAATCCAGCGACATAACTGCTATGCCATCTGCTGGCCCCCCAGCCCCAACATGGTTTGTTTTTTTTTTTTTTGAAGAGGTTTTTGCTATAGGGTGCGTGCGCTCACCAGACAGAGAGAGACAGAGAGATAGAAAGCAAGAAATCACCCCCCCAGGGGGGATGGTCACACCGCAATCCCTTCTCCTCCATTCTCCTCTCGGGATCTTGGGCACACACGCACATGTGCCCGGCGTGAGTTTTAAGCCAATGGGCCCAGGACTCGAACTGCGGTTAACTACGTGGGAGTCCAGCGACATGGCCGTTACGCTAACTGCTGGTCCCCCCAGCGTGATTTTAAGCCTCCAGTTCCAGGATTGAAATCATGCAGTTGGCCATGTAGATCCAGAACCTTCATCTCCATACCACCTGCTGGCCTGAGTTTGGGGCTTTGAAGCAAGCCCATTAGCTCTGCTCCATCTCCTTTGCAAAATGAGAAGATTAAACCCTACTTTGGTGGAGACTTCAGACAAGTGATGCCTTAAGTGACTAGTGCTCTTGAGGTGCCCGGTGGGTCACCTCTCATCCTCAGTCGTACAGAGTCCAGAGTTTCAACTGCACAACAAAGATGCTTTATTGTTTAAAAACCACAAAAGCCCAGGCTTCAGCATGAAGTGATGTCAGGGAGTCGATGGGGCCCAGGCTGCGGCCCAGATCTCAGGCCCTCGCTGCAAGTTCCCTTCAGCTGGGCTCTGCTCTGGCGAAGTAGCCTCCCCACCAGCAGCCCACCAGGGGCTAGGCCCTCAGGGGCTGAGGCCAGGGTCACACCGCAATCCCTTCTCCTCCATTCTCCTCTCGGGATCTTGGGCACACACGCACATGTGCCCGGCGTGAGTTTTAAGCCAATGGGCCCAGGACTCGAACTGCGGTTAACTACGTGGGAGTCCAGCGACATGGCCGTTACGCTAACTGCTGGTCCCCCCAGCGTGATTTTAAGCCTCCAGTTCCAGGATTGAAATCATGCAGTTGGCCATGTAGATCCAGAACCTTCATCTCCATACCACCTGCTGGCCTGAGTTTGGGGCTTTGAAGCAAGCCCATTAGCTCTGCTCCATCTCCTTTGCAAAATGAGAAGATTAAACCCTACTTTGGTGGAGACTTCAGACAAGTGATGCCTTAAGTGACTAGTGCTCTTGAGGTGCCCGGTGGGTCACCTCTCATCCTCAGTCGTACAGAGTCCAGAGGTACAACTGCACAACAAAGATGCTTTATTGTTTAAAAACCACAAAAGCCCAGGCTTCAGCATGAAGTGATGTCAGGGAGTCGATGGGGCCCAGGCTGCGGCCCAGATCTCAGGCCCTCGCTGCAAGTTCCCTTCAGCTGGGCTCTGCTCTGGCGAAGTAGCCTCCCCACCAGCAGCCCACCAGGGGCTAGGCCCTCAGGGTTTGAGGCTAGGTCCTGTGTATGTATGTGGGCGGCGGGGCGGGGGGTGTCAGGCGGCAGGAAGATATGGCTGACGGCCATCCCTGAGCAGGTTGTGACCAGCTTCTTGGTCAGTGCAGGTGGGCAGTGGGAGCCAGACCACAGAGGCACTGGGGCCCCGTCCACAGCTCCAGCTGGGCCACCTGCTCCCTACCCTACTGCATGCTCAGCTGCCTTCCCTGCTGGTGCCAGCCCTGGGAAGAGCATCAGAAGCTTCGTCCTCTATTCCCAGCGAAGTGGGAGGGCACCTGAGGGACACCCTGCCTTTAACCCAGAGCTATGGACCAGTTGGAATGTTCCCTGGCTAGGGAGGGCACCAGTGAGGGCCAGGAGCCAAGCCCTCTGGAAACCAGACCCGAGCTAAAAGCATCCATCCACCTGCAGCCCTGGCTTCATGCCACAGCGGGCTGGCCTAGGGTTCCTAGCTGTCTCTGCTCCAGGCCTGGTCAGCCAGGAACAGCGTCCTATCGCCCAGGCTGGAGCTGGTGGTGGAGCTGCTCCGCCTGAGTCTTCAGGCGCTGGAATTCTTCCTGGATGAAGTCCGTCAGGGCTTTGCGCATCTCCACCTGAGGGAAAGGGCCAGGCTGGCTAAGGTGCCCTGGAGGCCTGGGGATAGGGCAGAGGGACCAAGGCCAGCTGGGGAAACCCGGGAGGAAACTCACAGCTGACTTGTTCTCCGCCCGGAGTCGCTCGAGCACTGGCAGGGCACTGAAGGGCTTCCCAATCAGCACGGTGATCTTCTGTGGGGAGGCCACACACCGAGGGTGACAAGGAGCAAGGGGAGGACTTGTCGCATGCTCCCTTGCGGTCACTCTCCTTTAAAACGTAGGGGTCAAGCTTGGTGGCATCTTAGGCCATCCCAGCCCTGGGGTCTGCCCCACAGAAGGCCTTTCTTGTCCTGCCCTAGCAGGAGTATGCCCACTCCAGCCCAATTGCCTCTGCTAGCACCCTGAAGGACTGGGTGTCAGGAAGGCCCTGGTCTATGTTCCACTTAGTTCCCTGTGCAGCCCCAGGCTGAGCTTGGTCTACACTAGGCAGACAACCGGACAAGCAGACAGCAGATAAGACAGATGGAGGAAGGCCAGCAGCCCAACCCACCTGTCCGAAGCGGGGGAAGTAGGGCGGGCTGTTGGGAAGGACGTCGTTCATCCCTGCAGCAGTGGGCAGAAGGCCGGCTGTGGGTGGGTCCAGGCAGCTTGGTGCCCAACCCAGGAGCCCTCTCTACCACCCAGCAGAAATGCCCTGCCCCCAGGCTCACCAACATGCCACAGTGGCAGGATGATGGGGTCAAGATGACACTCAGCAATCAGGCGCCCAATTCCTGCCCAGGGGAGGAGAAACGTTGGCACGAATGAGGCTAAGCCTCTGTGCTCACATCTCCAGTTAAAAGCAGTTCCCTGGGCTCTTTTTTCTCAGCAGCTGCCCCTTCTTGCTGCTGCCAGCTCAGCCAGGGGGCAGGGCCAGGGCCCCCAGGGTCATCTCAGGGCCAGCACAGCAGTCCTCACTTGAAGCGCAGGAACTCAGAACTCATATTCACTTTCCCTGGTGAGAGAGCACAGGGGAGGGGCCCTACCCACCCTGCAGGTTAGAGGGATCCTTAACCCAGCCAGCCCTGCTGACCTTCTGGGAAGATGTGCACCCAGTCCCCGTCCCGTAGTTTCTCCAAAATGAAATCCATCCCTTTCTGGTAAACGCCATCTCCTACAGAGAAAAGTCCACCCCTATTAACCCTCATGCTGCAGGGAGGGGGCCAGCTCACCCCCAACCCTCTCCAAACCTCCAAGACACAGGCCCTTCTCCGTGGGACTCATGCACTGGAGTCTACCCACCTCAGACCCCCCCACCGTGCTGTCTATATAGACACCTGCCCATGGCTGCTCCCAGGCCCTGTTCAGACCCAGTTCTAGCCTGGCCCTAGCCTTCCTTCATTCAACAATACCCTCCACATCTGTAAGTGCTGCTCATGGGGGTAGTACCTCCTGACATCCTCCACTGATGTGACCTGCCCTTTCACAGCTCTTCCACCTGGCAGTCCCTCTGGTAGGCTCTCCCCCGGAGGGCTTCCTCCCCAGTCAGGCCCATGGCTGCTGGTCAACTGCCTCAGAGCTCTTTGTCCTCAGACATGGCAGCCCTGGGGCAACGCTGCCCAGACCCAGAGGTCACTGCTGGCACTCAGGACTTCAGCTTGGCCTGGCCTGGACCTGTAGCCACTCCTAACAGGCGCCCTGCCTGAGGCCT